CCTTCCTCCTCCTCCCTCCCTCCTCCCTCCCTCCCTCCTTCCCTCCCTCCTCCTCCCTCCTCCTCCTCCCTCCTCCCTCCCTCCCTCCTCCTCCCTCCTCCCTCCTCCCTCCCTCCCTTCTCCAGTCATGTTATAAAATAAACTTCATCACGTTAAATTACTTTTTATGATCCAAGATTACATGAACCTTCCTGGCAGAGGAAATAGATAGATAGATAGATAGATAAATAGATAGATAAATAAATAGATAGATAGATAGATAGATAGATAGATAGATAAATAGATAAATAGATAGATAAATAAATAGATAGATAGATAGATAGATAGATAAATAGATAGATAGATAAATAGATAGATAGATAGATAGATAGATAGATAGATAGATAGGTAGATAGATAAATAGATAGATAAATAGATAGATAGATAGATAGATAGATAGACAGACAGCCAGACAGACAGACAGAGACAGATATATTCATACATACTGTACATAACCGAATATATATATATATATATATATATATATATATATATATATATATATATATATATATATATATATATTCATACATACTGTACATATATATATATATATAACTTTTTATATAATGTTAATTTAATCTACGTAATCTTATGAATATTAATTGTGGTTTTAAAGGTTCAAGCCAGCAGTTCAAGTGTATGTATGTATGTTGTGGCGCGGTGGTAGTGATCCCTGTTCACACACAGAGGTCCAGGGTTCGATTCCCCACTAGTGAGGTATTGTTTGTATATGGAAGTCCGCGTGCTATATGGCCTGATGAGAGATGTATGTGTGTGTCTGTATGTATGTACACCTTTATACACCTCGGCTGGGATTCCATCAGGCCCTGAGGCTTTGTTATTTTTCATCTGCTTGATGGCAGTAGCTACCTCATCCAGGGATGGAGGATAGCTGAGGTGGGTCAGCTCCCTCCTGGATGCTGAGGGACCTGCTGGGTAGTCAGGACATCCACATCGGTGTTTCTGTTGAGGAAGGAATGGTAGTGCTCTTTCCAGTGCTGAAGGAGGCCTTCATCGTCTTTAATTATGAGGTTACCGTCAGAAGAGCGGAGGGGGGCTGCGCCATGAGTGACTGGCCCATAAAATGTTTGAGTAAAAATGAAAAAATCGCGCAGCTTGTGCTGATCTGCAAGTTTTTGTGCTTCACATGCTTTATTTTTAAGCCAGTCTTTCTTTAGATTGCGAAGTTCCTGCTGGGCTGCCGCTTTCTTCATGTGGAAGGTATCACCTTTAGTACGAGACTGAGGGTTGTTCTGCCAGTCAGTAAAAGCAGCACGTTTATCATTGATGAGTGCTTTGATTGCCTGGTCTTTTCATCAAACCAGTCCTGGTGTATTCTTTTGATCTGGCCGAGGGTCTCTCTGCAGGTTTTTATCATAACAGTATTAAGAGTATCCCATTCGGCACTGGGATTCACGTTGTTTGCTGTTGGGTTGTTTATCAGCCCATGTTCGAGCGGCTCTCTGAAAGCTTGTGCTACCGCTGGATCCTCCAGACGCTTTGTATTAAAACCTCTTCTGGAGGCTTGCTGCCTTCGCCGTTTTGGGGCAACGTGAAGTGAGAGCTTAGATCTGACAAGTCGATGATCAGTGTCACAGTGGTCTGAGCCACGCA